ACACGCGCACACACACAGGGGGACACACACACACACGCGCACACACACACACACACACACGGGGACACACACACACGAACACACACACACAGGCACACCACACGGGCACACTGGTAAGCGCACCGGACCATGATACTGCTAAGCATTCCTATAACAGTTTTCTATGTAGGTATGCTGCGTGGTAAATCCTTGCAAACCGATTTTCTTTCCCTGCCGGCCCTTCTACAGCCACCTCCCAGGATCCCAGGATTCTGTCCACAGAGTTCCATTGTGTGTTCTGCACGTCATCATTGTCCTTCCACATGCCTTTAGATAGCACTGTGGAAACAGCCTTTGTTAGCTTTGCCACAGAGTATCTTTTGTGGACTGCTCCGTGCATTTCTATAAATAAACATGTGGGTTCATACAAAGCAGTATAATAGATTAAATGTCACTATCCAAATAAAAGCTAAAATCAACACCCGATGGCCCTGCTCAGAGGGTCAAAGGAGACAGTATACTTTGGGATAGGGAAGAGTGTGTTAACCTTCTACACCCATGGAAAGATGGCCTATGGGGTACATTTCTTATAGATAATTCTACTACTCTGTTTCTTGTCTTAATACCCTTAAATTGTTACAACTTAAGTGGAGGGTAGAGAAGGTTGTAATGTCTTTCTGTACTCCAAATTTGTGGCAAACCTGCCTGCCCTCAGGCTTCCCTCTGGAGAGCTAGCCTTAGTCTCAATATTTATCTGCCAACATAATGGAGCCCCATTTCGTCCCAACCTGACAGGTCCAGACCTGGATGGATCTGGTTTGGCCACCTTGCTTCTGTGATAAACGCCGCATAAAAGACAAGAATAACAAAGCATATTTAGAAAAGAAGCAAAGTATATAACCTTTTAAAGGTCTTCATTTTAAGTAGTAGCACCAGTACCTATGTGTCTCAAACAGAACTGTGACAAAACATGTTACAAGAACTGGGCAGATAGCTCTAATGAGTGGAGGAAGCAAAGTCAAGAATATATCAAATTAAACAGAGAAATGAGGCAGGCCCCTTTCTGAGGTGGTAGCTGTCCCTACTCACCTGCCTGGGCATGCTCTACTGGAATGCAAAAACCCTGCGCTGCTAGAATTTTGGTTCAATTGTATGTTTGTTGTTCCTTTAGTGAAAAAGAAAAATCAGATCTTTATATGAAAATTCCTTAGTTTTAAAGATAAACAACAAATTCAGCCCAATATTTATATATGATACAAAACCAACCTCAAAATATGTCTGGCTAACTTCAGTCCCAAGTCACCAGACTGAAGAGTCTGGCTAAATATTAGCAGCAATAACAGCTGTGACTTTGGGATTTCAGGAAAAGGCCATGTAAAACTTCAAGATCCTAAATGCCGAAAGTTCTAAAATTGATGGCCAATTTTGTATATTTGTTTGACATTTCTTTTTAAGTTATAGTTCCTTGTGGTTCCTGTAATTAATAACCTTACATTAAAAGAAAATCCCAAAGTCAGAGCTTCTACCATGCAAGAGTTTAAACCCTGTTCTGAATATTTATTTACTAAATATCTAATACATATGCAAACAATGTTAGACACTAGCCATGTGCAGAACAGCACGATGTCATGACCTTAAAGAATTTACCATTTAGTTCTGGGATTTTGTAAGTACAACATTAGAAATTATGATAGGCCTATAACAAATTCTACAAGGGAAGGGTAAATTCTACAGTTATAAAAAGCTCAGGATGGTCTCCCATCGTCTTGTCCACACACTAGCAGGATGATATGAGTCATTCCTGTCATTCCCTGGCCTGGAACTTTCCAATGGTTACCTAACACAAATGGCATAAATTCTTCTAGACTTAGGCCCTTCACACTCTAGCCTCATTTCGGCCACTCTACTCCTTAACTACTGCTTTTTGGTGATGCGGGTCTTCTAGTTGTGGGACATACACATTACTTTCTGGTGTCTGTGGAATAGCTATCCCCTTTACTGCAATGTTCTTTCCCCAAGTCTTTTCATGGGCTCATTTTGAACCTCAGTATCAGCCTAAGTGTAGTTTCCCCCAGGGAGCCTCTCCTGCCCACTCACTCCTAATAGCACCACTCAGCAAGGACCAATTACAGACTTGCACTACTAATGCACAACTATAATGCATTAGAAATGTGTATAAAATGCTATTTAATGGATAAAAATGAGACTTTTCCTTTCTAAGGTCTCCTTTGTTACTGTGGTACATTTGCAATTGAACAAAATTCTCTATAGTGAAATTTTTAGATTGTTTCTGTGAATTTTACTACTCATCTTCATACTGTGCAATGCCAGTTCAAATGTGAATACAAAGGCATTTAATACATGTGAAATAAAATTATATGATTCCTAATTTTAATATCAGCTTGTGATGGGGGAGGTACCTGCCAGAGAACAAACCTAGGGCGTGATATTTGCTTTACAACTGAGCTCTCACACTTGCAGTTCTTGGTACATCTTCCTTCTGCTAACTCCGGCTCATAATGAGCCAGCCTGCCTCCACCTTAGGCTTGAAACAAGCCATCTTATAGTAAAGACAAACTAGATTCATTTCTGTTTATGATTAAATCTGTTTCTCAAGGATTGGGCTATGCCCCAACTGTATCCTTAACTACAAATGGTTCTGAACGGCCTGTTCCAGGAAACGGCAATCATACCTTTGTTTCAAAAAGTTGTTATGACCGTCTTGCAACCTACCTTTGTTTCAAAAGATTGTTATGGCTACCTTGCTGTCATGGCTTTGTTTGGGGAGGTCATTATGACTAACCTACTATGCTTATGTTCGGCTCCTGTAACCCCCACCTATTTTGACAGACAAATCCTCCATTTGATAGCTCAAATCCCCCATTTGAGCTATGAAAACAATGTCTTCCTGATGTCCAAGGCTGATCTCTTGAACCCTGCCTTAGGGGAAGGCAGCCTGTGTGCATGAATAAAAAAGCTTGCTTTAATTCACTTGGCCATGATGATTTGAGTCAGTGGTCTTTCTCCTCGAATTAAACTTGTCATATAGACAAGAAATGAAGGAGCAGGAGAGCAGGCTCGATGGGTTGTAAAGAGCCTGTACTGTTCTTCTGGGGAACTAAAGTTCTTTTCCAGCACCTGTGTACCAGGTGGCTTCCAACTGC